ATAATCCGTGAGCTATTCTATCCCGCTCACAGAGTAATTTGTTTCACACGATCCCCTCTTGTTGGGTTATTGGTTCAACTCGGTATTATAGGAACGTAGGTGCAAGCTACTTTGCTTTTGAGCATTTTCGTTCAGCTCTATCGAGAAAGCGCCCTTTACTTTTTATGACAAAAATTTTAAAAGAAGTTTTAGTCATGAGTGATTCAACAAGTAGCACTGGAGAAAAACGATCGCATGACTCCTCGGTCAACAATGGCAGTGGTAGCATGGACGTTGAATGTAAACGGGAATGGAACGGCATACCGCGCTCAGAGTTTGTGGTTGTTTCGGATAACAGCGGTAAGCTTCTTCTAGCTTACCTCCCATATAACTTGGAAAACGCTCCTTTTTATGACTATTAAACGTGATATAATCTGGCAGTGCATTGAATTCTTACAGGTGACGCCATGGAGTTACCCACTTCTGAAGATAATACGTTATTTATGACCACTCTGCAATCTTCATATCCTGGTGCTACTGGCATGAAGTACAAAAATCCCAAAACCGGAGCCCTAAGAGCAGTCGCGTGAGTCCTAAGTTCTCAGAGGCCTAACTATATTTCGAGATTGTGGTATAGGACAACAGGTAATTCAAACCACAGCAGACGCTTCTTCGGTAAAAAGTTCTAGAAAACGTATACTCACCCTGTTTCCTTTCTGACAATGGTTTACCCGTAACGCGTCATCTCCTTGCAAAAATAGACTGCGGGTGCCACGAAGTCTTGCACTACGGTCCCTTTTTCCTGGGCCGGCGTGCAGCAGGCGCCAATTCAGGGATGGATTCCCAAAGGTCTGCATCTCTGGACGCTTCCCCTATTCTTGATTATGAGAGTTGCGTCGACCAGAGTAGAGACGCAGAATTTGGGGACCCATCCCTGAGTTGGGCCTTGCTGCACCGGACCCTTGAATGGCACTTACGCCTTTTTAATAGGACTGTTATAAGGATTTTAGTATCTGCTAGTACTTGTATTTTAGAGTGGACGCCACTGGTACCTAAGCTTCTGCCTCCTCTCGATGGCTGGGACGACAAGGTTTTCACCGTGATCACTTCGAACGCCCGCGTTGACCGAGGTACGTCTACATTATTCACTAATGGATGAGTGTTCCCGTCTGAGTGTGGTTGGGTTTATACTTGAGGGCGGAGGAGGGTGGTTTTTCATTAATCAGGCCTTCAATTGTTTTCAAGGACGCTATTACCACACCCCACACATTCTTAGCGTTTTTTGCCTTTGCTTAACCTTTTAGACCGATATTAGCGCAGCTCTGGGGAACGTCTCTTTAAAATTTCTGCTTTTGTCTGACCGTCTGCATCTCATCCTGACATGACTCCAGTGCCACAATTGCGGTGCTCTAGCGGTATTTTTATGCTATGCCGTGCTGACTATTTAGCACGTAGCATCTATGATGCTGATGCGTCCCGTGAACTACAGGGTTGAACAGAGCTTTGTTGTGAAAAAGAAAGAGGTGTTTGTTTGTTTTCAAATTTATTTTCATAAGAACGTAGAGCGTGGAGGGTGAGAAAGGTGTGTCTAGGTTCGGATGTGAGTGTGAAGCGGCGCAAAATTGGTACAAGTGATGGAGAGTCGGACAGTGATGGTGAGGGTCGAGTTGGCCGCAAACGTGCTGCCGACGCTCGAGATTCGGTGAACGAGCCGGCTTCTTCGCGCCGTCCCGTTGATCTCATCGTGCTCGGCGTGAATTACAAGACCACTGACGAAGGATTCAAAAAGTACTTCGAATCATTCGGTACCGTCTCTTTTGCAGAGGTGAGTGTGAACTATGATTGTGGCTCCTTGTGCGTTTTATGATTTGCTTACAAGGGAAGGATGGTAGGTCGAAGTGGCCGTTGAAATGAAATGTATACCTCCTGATGCGTCTCTAGACGCTGATTCCAAATCTGCCTTCCAAATCTGCTAAACGGCTCTCCGAACGGAGTTATGAAGCGTAATAGCTCAGTGGTGATGGTCCGGGGTGGCAGGTAAAAGCTCGTAGGATCGGTTCCTTTGCAAGTTTGTTGCTTTGCTTGTCCGCAACACTTCTAGAGACAAAAGCAAAGCAACCAATTTGCAAAGGAACCGATCCTACGAGCTTTTACCTGCCACCCCGGACCATCACCACTGAGCTATTACGCTTCATAACTCCGTTCGGAGAGTCGTTTAGCAGATTTGGAAGGCAGATTTGGAATCAGCGTCTGGAGACGCATCAGGAGGTATACATTTCATTTGAACGGCCACTTCGACCTACCATCCTTCCCTTGTAAGTCGAGGAGTGTTTCGGTTTTGTGGACTGCGTGGCGTGAAAATTGTGATATAGAATGAGAAAGAAGAGAAAGAATTGTTTAGCGAGCATTAGAATGGACGCAAGAAGTGATGTTTGCCAGGAAATAATTGGGGTTGATCGTGTTCTAACTCCCTTTCTTTCGTGAAAGTAGCCAATTGGAGCGACAGTGTCGAGGGACTAGCGTTATCGCTATATGTTTACGGTACTATACAGTTTAAGAGTTTGCATTGAGTTTGGTTGGATGATGTTTTGATTGGTTTGAGCTTCCGACAAGGAGCGGAATGCAGTGGCTTAATTCTGCGAGATTGTATGGGAGTGTTTGGAGTTGTTTTGGGTATTCTATAGGGAATGGAAGAGCTGCGGAAGTAACATTTTTGCTGTTTGTGACTAAGGAAAATGAATGAGTATGTGTTTGTCCACTGCGGTTACGATTTAAAATGCTGCTCAAGTTCCAAAAAAGATCTGAGGGAAATGAGAACAGCTATTGCGATATCTTTACAATCATTTAGATCCAAACGAACGATCTGGAGGGGTTCGTCGCAAACGGTTCGGGTTATTTGGCCAAATGAGAACCTTTGAAGAACGAGACAAAGTTTTGTTTTAGGCGACTGCTTCGATCGAGCGGCTGGATTGAGACGGTGTGCGAGATTCGCTATATCCAGAGTCAGAAGGTGATCTACATCCCATCTCGTTCCGGTTTTTTTCTTTGGAGAGATGCTTGAGGATTGCGTGCTTTAGCTTGGTAGCTAGCTGCTGCGTCTTCGCCCATGCAATTGCAAGTCGCTTGTGTGTTGACGCGACCATTAGCCCCAACTAGACCCTCATTCTTTCGCGTGCACCTTGTAGGATTGCTTCATATCGATTATCGCTTCATAAACGCACTTGATATCTTTTGTAATGAACTACCCTGCCAAACCATTGCGGGGCAGCACAGGTTGTTAAGATAAAAATTCAAAAAGTGATCTGAAACAAGATGACTAGCGATATTGACTCGATATTGTATAAAAACTTTAATCGACGATCTGATTTCAGCACGATGGTTTCGGTTTTCCACCAAGTGGAAGTCGCAGTGTCCAACCTTCGAAAACATTGGTTAATAAAATATTTGTCGGTCGCCTTGTGGAAAAGGTCAGCGAGGACACGCTGCGTGAGTTTTTCGACAAAGAAGCAAAGCAGGTTACCGAGACTGCTTCGGTGAGTACATTGTGTAGATCAATCGCAAATTACAGAAATATATGTACTGGGTCCTACTTTCCAGGTCACCGATGTATTCATACCGCGACCTTTCCGCGGATTCGCGTTCGTCACATTCACGCATGCTGAAGTTGCTGAGAAGATGGTCAAGTAGGTTTTAATGATGGTTCATTTGAATTTCGTTAGTAAGATCCATTTATAATTCCAGAGCGAACAATTTCGTTATTGACGGCATGTCGGTCGTCGTGACTCTTGCTGTTCCACGAGAAGAACCTCATGAAAGGGGACCGAGTGGACCGCCTGGATACTTCAACGATTATGGATATCCATATGGGTACGGCAAGGGCGGCGCTGGATATGGTGGTTCGCCAGGACCTCTTCCTTATCATGGCAGGGTAAGTTGGAACTTAGGCAACACTATTCGCTTTCTCAACCTTTCAGCGTTTGTAATTGTCCTACAACAAGTCATTTATGTATTGAGATCTTTACAATTTCTTCTACTTTTAGGAGATGTATGGCTACAGCCCTCCTCCTGGAGTGTACGCTCGGCCTCCATACGATGCATGGGTTTCGCCACCATCAGGCCATCACGGAACACCTCGCTCATCACGTGGACCTGGCGGACCGCATGAGCAGCCATGGTATCGCGGTGTTCATTAGTTGATAACAATGATTTTTTTCTAATATGTCCTCATACACGCATGGAATTTCTTTCGTATCTCTTTAATTTTCGGTTATTTATTAGCAATGTGTTTGTTACTGCAAGAATTCTTGAAAATTCGTATTTTCTCTCTCAACAACTATATGCGCCCACGAAAACTGAAGTGAGTGTGATATGGTGGGCTACTAAAAATGTAGGGGTAGTTCTCAGTGCAGGCGAGCTAGCGTGCGAGTGGGAGAGAGAATTCGAATGAACTTTTGACTATTTGATGGTTTTTGCTACTGTTATTCTGTTTACTCAATCGACAAATTCATTTGTGTAATGATTTGTCCGCAAAGAATCAAATAAATTTGTGAAAAGATAGTTTTCGTGGGCTCAGATTGGAGCGAGTTTGACGACAGAATATCATTTTGAGGGCGGAAGTAATCACCTATTCACTTTCACGTGTTGTTCAAATTCTGGATTGGAAGCAGAACTGAGCGCGGTATAACTGGTACCTAACAAAGTGAACCGGTAATCTGTGCATCAGGCTAGTAATTTGATAGCTGCTCAAAGACTAATGTAGGGGAGGGTAAATTCTTCCAGTTTATCGATGTCTTGCTTCTTGACGAGACGGCGATTCGCAGAATTGAATTTTTTAAGTGGGGTGAAAATCGGTTTTCCGTTGAAATGGCTTATTCCAATTGCTTTGCTTATACGTGTGCGGGATTATTCAAGAATTTTCCTGTTTCATCAAAAGTATGTAAGAAAATGCACTGTTGTTCCTTATCAAAGCTTCAAGCGTAGAATGTGAGTGGGAAGATCGTCGCTTTTTTTATTTCATAGTGTAAATTGTTTCTATTATGGTACACATAAATAGACAAAGCGGTTACCATGTCTAGGAATCGACACGCGAAAGAGGTTCCACCTACAGCTTATCCAGGGCCTGGGCCACAACCAGGGCGGTCAGGCATCCAACCTCGTCCAGCTGTTTATCCGAGAAATCCAAGAGACGGGTGGGTAAAATGTCTTCAAAATCAGATCCTTGTCGCAATTTGCTATCCTTCATTTGCTTTTCGTTTCAGTCTGGCAGGTCAAGCCGCTTCAAATCAAATAGCCAGCGGATTAGACGCGTTGAATTTGAATCAGAAAAATCCAGAATTATTAAGCGGTATGTCTCTAGTTTTTCTTGATGTATTCGGTTTTCTTATGGTTGTTTTTCTTCTTAATGGCCAGGATTGTTGTTTTTGGCAGGGTAACTTCTTGAGGTAGTACAATTTGATCTTTACGATCATTTTTAGCACATCTTTTCAGCTGCTAAATGGAGCGCAATTTTTTCATACCGTATGAACCATGGTGGTGCTGTCCACCTCAACCGCAATAAAACAATGGTAGTCCCAACAATGGTTACCATCAGGGAAATGTAATTGAGTTTATTAATAATTAGTTGAAATCTCTAGTTGTTCACATCGTTTATTTTTCATAGTTGATTTATTAGCGTTTGATGATGTTCCACAAAACTTGTAATTAAATCGTGTATTTTCGTTCGTGATAAAAACCACTATCACTCACTCGGTTCTTTTTTTCTGAAGGTTTTCCTAATAACGAGAGAAAGCTTCCGGATGTCAGTTTTGTTTCGAATGATGGCGATAACTTTATACATGAGGTTTGTGCCTAATAACCCGAAGAAGGAGCAACCATGGTTTGAGTTGGCAGCTCTTTTGGAATAACATATTGGTCTTCCTGCTGAAATAATGAAAATAAATATGAAAAATGGGGAAGTGAGGGTGTAATACAAGTGGGATGGGCAACCGCACACCCCGAATTTTTTGAAATACGGTAGGACAAACGCACCTTAACGCACGAAAATTCGGAAATTTAATGTTTGAATGGAACTGTTGCTCGCTACTATGACGTGACGAGGCTATGAAGCAACTCACACATTCCAGGTTTTAGCGTATGTATTCATATGAAGTGACAGCCAATCCCCCCCTAGATTGGCTACATCCCCTGGCTCACAAATTCCCTCAATTCTCGTGACACCATAGTAGCGGGCAGCAGTCCCCACTTACATACATTTCGCGCCTACCGTATTCAAAAAATTCGGCGTGCCCACCCCATTCGTACTGCACCGAAGTGAGGTTATAAAATAGCAAAAAGATGCAAGCTAGTGTGGGCGTAAACTCGATTCCCGAATACGGTGGACGCGCATACGCAATGATGGAGATGCTATAGGATCGTAGGTAACCATAAGCCTCTCTTCCAGTAAGGGGGGATGTGGTGTGACAGTTCTTGCCGGCTACAGAAATTCCAATTTTTGCAAGGGGAGGGAATCCCCGGGGTGCGTGAACCATTTCGCTTAAGCTTTTACACCCACCCCGGAGCTTCCCTCCCCTGAAAAAAGTGGATTTCTTCATGCAATATGAACTGTCGCACCACATGCCCCCTTACTGGATGAGACCCGCCTCAGGCTATGGGGAGCTTCGGGGTTGAGCAATTTTCATCTTCTCCGAAACTTCTTCTCCCTCCTAAGCCTTGAGGCCGAAAGGGAAGAGATAATCCGGATCAGCGAAAAATGAAGGGATAGGCGTTATAATAGTCACTGCATACATTGCGGTCCCACCGTGTTCAAAAAACGAGCATACCCCGACTAGTTTTGCAGCGCAAAGGCAATAGTCACTTACCGTAGTCGGTTTTCGTAGGGCGTTCCTTGGACGATGGTGGCCGTAATGATTGACAAGCTGCTAGACGACCGCGTGGTCTCAAAAGATCGCATTTTCTGTAATGTAAAGAGAAATCAATGGACATGGTTCTAAGAATTTCAACCCAAAAAGTATACCTGCACGACCATCTGCAGTTTTCCCACATGTAGTCTTGTCTGGTATCGCATAAATTGGCGTCAGCCCAAGCCTCACAAAGCGGATGGAAGTCTAAGCATTCTGGAAAGAACACTTTGACGTTCAGTATTTCCTTTGGAAAATGTATGTATGTAGTAGGATATCGATTTGGAAGTGGGGGGGGGGGGGGCGGTTGCTATATGATGGTGGGAATTTTTCCCAAGGCACCACTAATGGTTAGTAGTAATTCAGTTTATGTTGTAACCTAACATGGGGACAAACTTCGCATGGTACTCGACTTCTGTTTAATTTCCCGCGCGCGATGGTTTGAATGCAACACAGCGCGCGTTGGTGCAGGGTCAAGTCGTGCGTTGCGTAGTTTTCAACAAGGGGGTCGTGTTTGAGCTTTCTTTGGAGAGGGGGGGGGGTGTATTAGAGGTTGGTGAAGGTCAAAAGTTTGGAAAAAGAAAAGTCGTATTGGTGGCAGGGAGAGAGATGGGGGGTCGTTTTGGTGGATTTCCTGGTGGTTTTGGTAGGGGTTCGAGAAAGTAAGCATGAGTTGGTCAAAATTAAAGAATTTGTCGTTTCACCTGATATGTTTACCCCCTCCCCCACCTCTGCTCGACGGTCGTTTTGGAAGGAAAAAGTGGGCGGAGTTGGGAGTGTCAACTGGACTCAGAATCGGCACAATCAAATACTATAGAAACAGCTATGAGGGTGAGGGCGGTGGTCGGAGAGAGAAGGAGAGTTGTCGAGACCCCGTACCCAAGAAGGGGGGGGGCGCCCGGGGTTGTAAACATTTTTGGCAATCAAACAACGGACGATTGACCCCATGCAGTGGTGTTTCAACAGTGTGTGGGTACTGTAAGGCTAATGGAGAAGATTGGAAGAATTGATGAGGCATAGAGCTTGGAAGGAACTGCAATTGGTAATCTAAGTGGGAATTTTGTCAGGATATTCTTCGCTCATTTCGGATAGCTAAAGCTCTTTTCTTTTCTTCTGCCAGTGAGGCGTTTAGGTCGGGTCGAAACGTCAAGCCGTTAATGAAGCTCTTCACCTCAAAACCTAGAAAATATCTTAGCAACGATGCCGAGGTCTATGGAAAGGGGACATGGTGATTTCTTTTGCTAAAGATATTCTAGAGCGTTTTTTCACATCTCCGCAACAAGACAGTGGATGATTTAAAAATATAGACTGCATATTGGTGTTTGATAGCACCAGACTCAGCAGGGAAGAAATTTTCATAGCACCCTTGCCCCAGACAATCAGATAGTGACAGTGGAGACAGTTTATGTGAACTTTGTTTTGATGTGTATCGAGTGCTGCCAAAACATGCTCTCCATGAGTTGGCGTAACGGCAGTATTGCCCTTTTACAACCCCAAGAAGGGCCAAAATTCACTATAAGTGTTCGCTCATAAGGATTATTCAGTGTCCCGATCACTAATAATAACACCAGTTTTGACATCGACGCCACTTAGTGCCAGTTCGCGTTTTTTTCACCAAATTCCTTCAAAGGTCTAATGCCAAAAACTCAGTATGGTATATAAAACTATGCACTAATGCATGGGCTCTAATTTACAGACGTGGTTGACGGGTGCGTACGTGTGCTTTGCAGTAGTACTCCCTTCAAAAAACGAGAAGAGCGTCGGGTGCAGACCATACACCACAAGTGACGACGGCCTCCACAAAATGTAAATGTTTTCTGCCAATGAAATGATTAGCCTGTTGCAGTTGTATTCTATCAGTTGTCACTAATTACAACTATCATTTACCAAAAATCAGCTATCACTAACCACTACTAACCAGATTTACTTGGAGGCCGTCGTCACTTGTGGTATGGTCTGCGCTCGACGCTCTTCTCGTTTTTGAAAGGAAGGTTACCCATCGTAGGTGACTCCAATATTGCTCGCGACTCTGCATAGTACTATAGCTCATACGAAACTGGACCAACAACAAAACGCCGCACTTTTCCCCGTCCCACCACTGCAGTTCACAAATCCAAAAACCATGGGTATGTTTGAAATCAGCGTCGAAAACGCTGTGCGATGATGCTTACCTTGTATTTTAATCTTTAATGTGAATTCCCTCGTGATCTTGGCTTTTGGGACTCAAGTAACTCATTTTGATCTGCCGTCGATATTGGCGCCGAGCCCTCGTTTAGCCGTCTGCCGTCTCCGCATTGTCCATAGTCTCTGCCGTTTTGCCAGTCCCTCTATTTCGGCGCGACGCG